CCTTTTGTCCAATTTATGGGGAAAACTTCTGATATCATAGTTTATAACCTAACTTTAAGGGGAATTATTGTGCGGTTATGCATTACAGATCATTTTACAACATTTTTTTCTTCTGGTGTAAATCGATTATCGTTCTTGATTTTCATCGCTTATGAAATGTTTATACGTAGTGGAAGAATGAGACCAGGGATTTCAATATTTAACTAATCGTACAACGAATCAGAGAAATATAAAACAATTGTATTTCATGCCACTGACCGAATAAAACACATTCGTGAAAACGACAAACGCTCGAAATTTCACAGATGTGGATGTTAAACTTACAGCATATTCGATGCAGCTCAAATGTGTTCTCTTTTAATCCTGCACTAAAGTTCTAATTAGAGATAACAACCATTTTAAAGGTAAAGATAAATTAAATTATATGTATGCCGTTTTATAATTAAACATTACGAAATCATGAAAAAGTGAACTGCATCAAAAGTTAAATATAAAACAAAATGAAACGGCATGTATATGTGAAAAAAGGGGGGAAAATGTAAAAAAAAATATCCCGCTTTGGGATATTTCTAAACGGAAAAGTCTATACAAATTTGCAGACAGATTCGTGTATGAATTACTTGAAGTAGATTTTCTTTTTAATATACAATTTTACATTCTCATATAAATTTATAGGTCAGGCATTTGAGTACTACAGAAGACAAATTAAATCAGAGTGCAAAAGGAATAGTAGTAATCATTGAAAATATTCTGGCTACAAAATGCATGGAAATGGAGATGGGACAAAATGCATTCTACCATTTGATAGCCCAGAATGAATTACTTTAAGTAAGTAACATAATAGCCATCCTTTATGCTACATCGGATTTGAAATTCGCAGATATATATATGCATTAAATGTTTAATATTACCGTTAATGCTAAGTGTCACTTTGATTTAGATTTGACTTTGTATTTTTTCACTTGAATTATTAATTAGTTAGAACGTTTTTTGACATAGTTCTGTTTCCTGAATCCATATCATAATCAAAATAACGGCATACCTGTAATCTAATTATTATAATAAAATCTTTGTCATAATGTTAGAAAAAAAAAAATCAAGTTTGAATTAATATCGGCTTTAAAGCTTAAATCTCAATTACGTTTAAACATTTATGTATTTTTTTCTTCTTCAGAAAGCAAACAAGAGGAGGAGGCTTGCAGTAGAAAATACAGATTCTGACTAATTAATAAAATGTTAAAATGCTATTCAGGAAAATTCAATATTCATTGACAGTCATAATTAAGTCCTGTCATATGAATAAGCTATTCTATCAATGCTTTTGTGTTGGCAGTACACACATGTCATGCTTTGACTGCTCTTAATTGTTTGAAAGAGTCTGAAAAATATCAAACGAAAATTCAAATATCCACTTGTAAGTCGGAGAAAAACAATCGCATTGCAAACAAAACAAACAGTCTACATTACATTACATATAATGATAGAACAAGAAACAGGTGCCCTGGAGGAGAGCTGATAAATGTTAGTCTAAATATGCACGATATATTTGCAAGCTGAGAGTTGGCCTGAACATAAAACATTGTTTGAATATTTATATAATGTTTTTAACAAATATACTACCAAGATATTTTAAGAATATTGGGAAGACATCCATAAAACATTGTTGAAATATGCAATTTACATTTTCAAGAAATATTTCTACCTAAACTTGCCTCTGATATTTTAAAAACATTTTGTAGACATCCATAAAACATATTATAAACATGAAAAGGATATTTTTGGATAACGTTTGATATATATGTTGTCTGGATATTTTCAATTGACACTGAATGATATCAAAATTATGTTATTTAAATATAAAATCAAGATATTTAAAAATAATGTTCTTTATACATTCAGAACAAATATCTGCAGAAAATATGCTATTCACATGAGTACAGCCATACATTTCACGTCAAAAAAATATTTTTGAATGATATTTTTGTGACATTTTGCAATATATTTTAAAGATATCAATAAAATGTTTTTGTGCTACCTGGGTTACTGCTGACAATGATCAATTCAACTTTGGATTTGTTGTAACTAGTACAATGGTTGATCTTTTATGAAATTTCAAACGAAAAGTGAACCAACGCCTGGTGAATCTGTAGTACGATAGAGTCCCTGAAGTTGATACCTCGGGTATGCAGGGTCGGTATGATAAAGCACATAAAATATAGAAAGTCTTATAACAACAACACTTTAGGGACTGAAACATGTAGATCAATAAATTTTCTGCAGCAGTCCCTAAAGTGTTGTTGTTATAAGACTTTCTAAATTTTGTGAAATTTGTTTTAAAATATCGTCTTTTAACAAAAAATACGGAAGCCCATTTAGGACATTCCTAAAATATAATTTGAATTCGAAATCACGAATTAAAATCGTTATAACGAATTGTATAATTGGTTATAACGGATTATATTCGTTATAACGAATTTGTGGAATAAGTTATCACAGTTTTTATTGTAATTTGTTATTTCGGATGAAAATTCATTTTCACAGATTTTTAGCTCACTTGACCCACAGGCTTAAGTGAGCTTTTCTCTTCACTTTGCGCTCGTCGCTGTTCATTACTTTAAAAAAAATCTTCTTCACAGAAACCTTTTGGCCAAAGTGAAACAAACTTGACCACAATCAATTTAGTTGTCACGCATTTTATTTGCAAAATTAGCAAAAGGGATTGGACACAAACTGAAACAACATTAGTGGGGCCTTCTCAATGTACAATTATAAACACAGAAACACTCAAACTAAAAGTTTTTGTCGTGTAAACGAATGGGTTAAATCACAAACTGATATGTAAGTTTATTTCTTATGCAGCATAAATACTGCAATCTGATTGGTTAATTACCCCGGTGTAAATAACACCCCACCCTTGTTCACCCGGGATAAATAAAATTATGCCAAAAAATTTTAAAAATTAAATTTTGCCAAAATATAGAAAAAAAATAAAATGTCAAAAAAAAAATAAAATAAATAAAATGTCAAAAAAAAATAAAAAATAAAAAATGAATAAATTTGAGGACAAAAATTTGTTAAAAAAATTTTTTTTTTTTATTTTTTTTCCCGAAAATTCGAAAGAACACAAAAAAATTCTGAATTTCCCAAAAATAAATAAAAAAAAGTATTTAACAATGCGCAGCAACATCGACGTTGAAAAATGTTACACTGGAAATTTTTCATTAGCATTTTTCAATTTTTACATCCCGGTTTAAAAATGTGTAAAGGAAATAAATTCGTTATCTTGGTGTAATCAGGGGTGTACGGAATTTTACACCGTCGCTGCGCCTCAGGGTGTATGAATTTTCAACAACGGTGTAAAATTCTGTACACCCCTGATTACACCAAGATAACTAATATTATTAGCCAGTGACCTAGTTTACACACCAAAACTCTCTAGAAAAAAAATGTATCTAATCCTCATATTTCTTGACCGATATATTTTTTATTCCTTATATAAAAGTCTTTTTAGAGCGGTGAATGTCATTGGTGTGTATCGCACATGGATACATTTTACACAGAGGCAACGAAAGTAGTTTCGCAAACATGGTTTATCGAAGTGTAAACCTAGGAATGAAAATCTAGCATTTGTTGATATGTAAATAATATAAAATAGTTAAGAAAACATAATAGGAGTGTAATTTTTTTTAATTACATGCAATCCTAATATGTTTTTGTCATTATCAAATAATTCTAAAATTATAAGCAAATCAACAAATACGTGAACGTGATTGCTCTGTTAGATTCTTGGGTTTACACTTCGTTAAACCATATGCCGAAACTACTTCTGTTGACTCTGTGTAAAATATATTCATTGGCGATACACACGAAAGAAATAGCCGGTCTAAAAAGACTTTTAACTAAATAAAAAATAATGAATAAAAATGTATCGATTACGAATTATGAGCATTAAACACATTTTGTATGCCCCCGCCGCTAGGCAGTGGGGGCATAAAGTATAGGTCTTGTCCGTCAGTCCAGTCAGTCCGTCGCGTACGTTCATAAAACTGGTTTCCGTTCTCTAACTTTAGTTTGCCTCAACCAAATGTTATAAATTTTAATTATACACTATGCTTATTACCACAAAACACAGATCAAATTTGAAATTGAATGGCGTCACTTTTACCGTTCTTGAGTTATGTCCCTTTACAAATGGACCGTTGAAAGACTTAGTTCTAAATCTGTCGTTTCCGTTCTCTAATTTTAGTTTGCCTCAACCAAATGTTATTGAACTACTACACAATACCTATCAACACAAAACACAGATCAAGTTTGAAATTGGGTGGCGTCACTGTTACCGCTCTTGAGTTGTGCCCATTTAGCGCCCATTTACAAAACAAAAAACAAACAATATTCCTAATTAAGTGTCCAATCTCTTTTGCTAATTTTTCAAATAAAACTCGTTAAAATTAAATTGATTGCGGTTAAGTTTATTTCACTTTTGACCAAAAAGTTTCAGTGAAGAAGTTTTTCGAAAAAGTTAATGAACAGCGACGGGCGCAAATTGAGAAGAAAAGCCAACTTAACCCTGTGACCAGGTGAGCTAAAAATTTGTGATAATGATTTTTAATCCGAAATCACAAATTACAAAAAAACTGTGATAATAATTCCACAAATTTGTTAGAACGAATACAATCGGTTATAACCAATTATACAATTCGTTATAACGATTTTAATTCGTTGTCACAAATTACAAAAAAATGTGATAACGAATTTAATTCGTAATAACGAATTACATAATCTGTTATAACGATTACCATCAATTCGTTATCACAAATTTAATCTGTTATAACGAATTATGCAATTCGTGATAACGATTTAAATTCGTGATTTCGAATTCAAATTATATTTTTGGGAGGTCCTAAATGGGCTTGAATAACGATCTCGTTGTTTATTCTCTTTATTTAAATATGAACGTAACTTATTCAAAGTGAACCAATTTAAATAGCCTTAGACGCCATGTTGTCAACAGTTTTAACTATTTACTTCCTGTATGAAAGCAATGAAATGGCACAAGCACCTGCGCCAAAATGTAACATTTGTAAGGAAGACATCGCAAAAGTTTTTTGCTATGAGTGCCACCATTTCCTTTGTCAATCATGTAATTCGTGGCATGAAAAATTTCCGGCAACCAAACGACATACAGTCACGGATTCGCAATGTGTTGATCGATCCACACTCATGCTTACACTTGTTTGTGAAGATCACGACCTCGAATTTGCTTATTATTGTCGGGACTGCGAATGTCTAATATGCGTTCAGTGTGTTACGTCTGTCCACAAAGGACATTCATTTACGGACATAGCGGAAGTTGCTGCGACTGCACGTGGAGATGTAAAGAATCGTCTTGAACAGATCAAAGATAACATTAAAAATTTATCAGATTTGATTGATGATTTTAAAACAACGAAGCAAACAAATCTGCAGACTGGTACCGATAACTTTATCACAGAAATAAATGTAGTTTCGAAAGATTTGGTTAGAATAATAGAAACAGAAACCCAAACAAACTTGACAGATGCATCAGACTTTCTTGTGCAGGAGAAAAAACAATTGTTAAACAATGTGGCGAAGTTGGAAAAATCATGCAGTGAATATAGTTCTTTACATGAAAGGTACGAGCAGATTTTGAGAGATAAACTTGATGTCACATTCTTTCTTAACCAGAAATCTCTCGCGAAAGAATTTGAATCGCTAGATGACATCTCTCCTCCTGAAGAACCAAAGGAGATAAAACCTTTAAAAACAGATGGTTTTGTAGATTCAGTTATTGAACGAATTGAAAATCAGTTTAATTTGAGGTTTGTATATTAATTATATTAATTTCAACAGATTATGCCAAAATTTTCGAAACAAAAGTCATTTGAAAATAACCGTTGTAGGTGGAGACAGTTTACCTTTTTTTCCAATTTCATTGCTACAGAACCGTGTGCAACAATCCTATACGAGCATTTACAATATAATTTTTATGAATAAATGGGAATTTTTAATTAACTCAGTTACGAAAACATTTTATTGATAAACACAAATCAAGAGGTCATTTGAAATTTGCAATATTCTAAGTTTGTAATAGATCCCTGCTAGTAGAGGGTACCCGTTAAACGAAATGCCCGTGGAAATATGTTAACAACGTTTCCTACCCGATGGTATCACCAGCCCAGTAGTCAGCACTTTAGTGTTGACATGAATTATAACTGATATGGTCATAATTATAAATTAACTGTTCACGAACATTTGATTCTTTTGAAATACTAAGACATTTCTACCACAGGAATATATGTTTTTTTCGTCAAAACCTTCTCGAGTTTTGGATCCTCAATGCTCTTCAACTGCGTATTTTATTTCGCCTTTTTAAAGTTTTCGATTTGAGCGCCACTGGTGAGTCTTAGTAGACAAAACGCACGTCTGGCGTACACAATTTCCAGCTAATGATGAGTTTAAGTAGAAGAATAAACCCTTTTTGCCTAATTCGTACTCGCTATTACAAGCTTGCACTCAATTGGGAATGCATTACTAGGCTTAGGCATTTCTTCTGAAAAATAAGCAGGAAGATTGGTGAAAAGTTTAGGGGCCTGGGTTTTGAAAGTATCCTAAGACATGAAATGAGATATCTAGGACAAATTTAATGACCATCTTATGATTATCATATGGTATGTCATAGAATGTAAACAAAAGCTGTCCAAAGATAGTCATACTATGATGCTCTTACATGTATGACTATCATAAGTGAACATATTTTCTTTAATTGTGAATAATGATTAAAAAAATGATAGAGAATAACTAAAAAAATAATAAGTAAGAAAATATTAGCTATTACCATGCTTATTTTTTACGAATATTTATTTTTTTCCTATAAATATAATGAACATGAAATTATACACGAAAAAGAATTGAAATCTGAGTTGATGATTTATTTAAAATTTAGTTGATAATAAATATAATAGAGTTATAGACTTTTGTGAACATATATATACATTATCATATATGAAGCATTATCTAATTCTGCAGGCCGGTCACGTATTACGACAATTTCAAAGAGCAACAATATCAAACCATTAAAAAACAGAATAAAAGTGAAATGCCTTTTTTACATATACCAAAGGAAAACATTGTTCAAACCAATGCTGTTACATATTTTAATTCATTTAAAAAAAATGGTGACTCGTAAAGCCAAGATGTTTGCAACAACAAAAAACACAGACTTAAGTACAGAGATTTTCTTTATAAAATTGTTAACATAGATTTCTCACTTCTTTGCCCATAAAATGTTAGTGTTTAAAGTCATGCGAAACTTCAAATTAAAAAAAAAACAGTTTATTATGTTTTGTATACTTGAATGGCTAAGTTTTACTACAAAACAAGTGAACGTGATTTCTTTTCAAAGAAAATCCTTTATATTTTCCAAATCTTCAAAAATATACCGATATTGAATTATTGACAGAATGCATATGCCTGGTTCGGGTTTAAAAATAAATGACAGTTTACAAAACATGAGAAGCGAAACTAAACAGTAAATCGATTTGTACCATCGTGAAATTATGAGGTCGACAAGAAATGAACTTTGTGATAATCTACTCGTTTCCCAAACCTGAAATAATTCCATCGTCTGCTTTCAAAATGCTTTTTAAATGAATGTGACCGTCTTAAGCCTGAAATATATGCCATACTGAACGTTTCAGCATGTTTATGGTGAGTAAATGAAAACTGCGTCTTCCAAACAACTGTTTACTTTCAGTTTGTGTTTATCGTGACTTTCGATCTAAAAACTAGAGACGTTCCGAAATCCTGTATTGGCCGGATCAGAACTCGGCCAATACAGAAAAAAAATCTATATTGGCCGAGTTATTCTGTATTGGCCGAGTTGACACCTTTATATTGCATAGGCAGTTTTCATCATATTAAGTCCAATAACAGTGAAGTTAATTAATAAATGTATTTATACAACATTTTACGTTGAATTTATTAAACTTTCAAGGAAATAATTACTGCAATTATGTCACATTGTCATCTGCCTTTTTAAGTTTTTATCTTGTTAAATTTTATGGGGGTCTCATTGGGGGGTTCTGATCCCGGATCCCGCTTACTGTTTTGTCAGATTCCCGTATCCCGCTTACACTATGTACGTAAGCAATTCTCATTTTTTTGTAATTTCCTGTGTCCCGCTAGACTTCATTTCCCGTTTTCACGGCACAATAATTTGACTTTCACGTGTCACGCTTACAAAAAATCGGCAATCCCGAGTCACGCTTAGACCCCAATGAGACCCACTTTTATGTGAGTATTTAGGGAGCAACCATTTAACTTTAAGGGGGGTTACTCGAACATTTTTTTTTAGTTTTTCGACGCTATCAATCTAATTTTTTTTCTTCAAAATTTAACACTATAAGGTATGAGGAAAATCTGGATTCAAAATATTTTTTTTACATCTGCTTGACCACAATATTTTTTTTCATCAAATTGGGGATCAGAATATTTTATCGTTTTTGTAATGCTATTTATGAAATTTGTGGAAGGAACATATTTATAGTTGGTTCTTATGTTGTGCTGTTACACCATTTCCCAAGTTAGGGGAGGGTTGAGCACTCACAAAAATGTTTAACCCTGCCACATTCTTTATTTGCTTGTCCCAAGTCAGCGGGAGCCTGTAGTTCAGTGGTTGTCGTTGGTTCATGTCTGTCATATTTGTTTTTCTTAAATTGTTTTGATATAGATTAGGCCGTTAGTTTTCTCAATTGAATTGTTTCATATTTTTCATGTCGGGGCCCTTTTATAGCCGACTATACGGTATGGGATTTCTCATTGTTGAAGGCCGTACGGTTGCCTATAATTTCTTACATTCACTTCATTACAACTTTGGTGGATAGTTGTTTCATTGGCAATCACTTATCACATTATTATATTGTAACAGGACTGTCAGTCCGTCCGTTAGAGTTTGCGTTTCTCAATAATTTCTTACATTCACTTCATTACAACTTTGGTGGATAGTTGTTTCATTGGCAATCACTTATCACATTATTATATTGTAACAGGACTGTCAGTCCGTCCGTTAGAGTTTGCGTTTCTCAACCGATCTTCACGTCACTTGTTGTACACATTCAATTTTGGGAGGGGTAAACGCCTATTGGTTTAAAGATCAAGGGAAAAGGCTACATCGATAATTTAATTACGAGTGACTACTCCGCTTCAAGATACTATGTTAAAGGTGATGTGTTTCCTTAATGAACTGGAAACATCAAAGGCATCATTTTTTCAAGTCCGCGCCACATGCGCATTTTGACAAGTATTGTCTCTTCAGTGATGCGTATGATATTTATATCTCAACATAGCTTCTTGTCATTGCAGTGTCTTATTGGACTGATTGACCGTTATAGGTTGTCCGTGTCCCGAAAGACAACATAACCTGTCCCTTTGTCTTAGATTCCTTTCCCTGTTCCCGAAAAATGACCTTCGTGTGTCTTGTAAGAAGCGAAAACTGCTTACCCTTCCCTTTTCAGGACATAGCTTTGGTTTTCTTCCTTATATTCTTTTTCCCCCATACATAATGGTTTTTAAATTTCATCTCTGACCATACATAGGGGAGGTTAAGATCCAATTATACTAGTAAAACCCCTCCGCATGTTTTATACGCACGAAACAATTCCTGAACAAAGAAGTCATTACAATTGGTAAGTTTTTGTCACAATAGAATTTTTAGTTTACAATTTAATATTTTGAAATTTTGCTTCGCTCTCATATTTATTTCCTGTTTATTCAATCAAAGATAGTAACTTATTTTCCTTTTTTCCCCTTTTTTGGGTTTGGGATGGGGGTCTTTAACCAAAATACAGACCATGTGTCAATCTGAATGTCTGTTTTATATGTTGCGTTGTGTGATTTTATTTTCTACTGCGGAAGACATAAAAATAGCAAGAAAACGAAAAAAAAAAAGAAGATTACGATTTGAATCTGACTTTGAATCAAAAGAGACACCAAGGGCCTTTCAAAATCTTTGTATCTATTTTGTTGTGAATTTATTGTACTCCAGCTGATTCTCGCGAATGAGGTTATTTAGGGCGAGGCAATTAATCAGCTTCCTCCTCTCTCTCTGGTCAGCTACGGCATCTGGTTGCCGTGGAGCAGGTCTAGCGACGGCACAGTAAGTAGGATAATTTAAAGAGAAAGACTCAAAAGTTAAATTACATTGTCGCTCAATATCGATTTCAAGTTGAAGATTAAATTGGTGAATTAAAAAGAAATAAAGTAATGAGTACGTTGAGGCATCCGAAGCCAAAATTAACAGATATTGTAAAAAACATGTACCGCCCTAGTCGTCAGACATAAAACAATGATTAATTAAACATCTACTACAAAATACAGGTTTGTTTGTTTTTTGTTTGTTTGTTTTTTTTCATTTTCCAACTCGACATCTAAAAGAAATGAAACATTGAAGTCCTTCCTTTTCCTCATAGTCAATTCAAAAATAAGTTTAATTTTGATAAGCAAATACTTAATAAACAAAATAAGGTACGGTACACAACAAATGCTTTTATACACGTCATGTTGGATAGTTCTCATTGGCAATCAAAATAATCATATGCGATCAATTATATTTTTTAAAATTTCATTTTTGAGACGACCCTTCATATCTCACCTGTCGTAGTCGTTCTCAACTGTAGGTGTAGACAATTGTTGAAAAGGTCTAATATCACGATCCGGTAAACTTCGTCAACGAACTCGAAAGTTAACTAGCTTGCGATCAACAATAATGAATGAAATATTATTTGTCAATAACATGTTATAGATTCGTTATAAATATAAAACA